ACCCACTCCTTCTTTAAAAAAAAAAAAAAAAAAATCGACAAGGCAAGAAACAACAAATGTTGGAGAGGATGTGGAGAAAGGGGAATCCTCTTAAACTGTTAGTGGGAATGCAAGTTGGTGCAGCCACTTTGGAAAACAGGTTCCTCACAAAATTAAAAACAGAGCTACCCTATGACCCAGCAATTGCACTACTGGGTATTTACCCCAAAGATACAGATATAGTGAAAAGAAAAGCCATATGCACCCCCATGTTCATAGCAGCAATGGCCACAATAGCCAAACTGTGGAAGGAGCCGAGATGAGCTTCAACAGACGAATGGATAAAGAAGATGTGGTCCATACACAATGGAGTATTATGCAGCCATCAGAAAGGATGAACACCCACCTTTTGCATCAACATGGACGGGACTGGAGGATATTGTGCTGAGTGAAATAAGTCAAGCAGAGAGAGTCAATTATCATATGGTTTCACTTATTTGTGGAACATAAGGAATAACATGGAGGACATTAGGAGAAGGAAAGGAAAAATGAAGGGGGAGAAATCAGAATGGGAGACAAACCATGACAGACTATGGACTCTGGGAATCAAACTGAGGGTTTCAGAGGGAAGGGGAGTAGGGGAATGGGTGAGCCCGATGATGGCTATTAAGGAGGGCACGTACTGCAGGGAGCACTGCGTGTTATACACAGACCATGACTCATGATGTACTGTATGGTGACTAACATAACACAACAACAACAAAAAAAAAAGAAAGAAAGAAAGAAAGTGTTCATAATCACAAGTTATGAAATACAGAAGCACTACAAGTCTGATACAACTTCTGAGAAGCATAGAAAAGTGCAAATACAGAGAAACAACTAAAAAGAAACATACTAACAGGTTTACAGCTGTCTCTACATCCTGGGATAAGGGATCATTTTTGGCCTTCTTCTCTATTTCTCAATCTCTCTGTGATAAGCACAAACTATCATAATCAGAAAACAAACAGTGTCATAGAAAATAAGAAAGTAATTAAATAAGCATAGCTTTCAGGTCCTCTAAGGTCCCAAATTATTACCAAATGGTCTCTCTCCTTCAGTCCATGTATGGATTACTGCAGAGGCCACGTTTTGGTGACAGACTTGACCAACGCAACCTTGAGCAAGGCAGACCCACAGTGACCACTGAGCTAATAATGCAAACAGACTCATTAAGTGACCCGCCTCAAAACGGCCATAGTCCCTAACTAACCAGTGGGCTACTCACAACCAGGCACAGTTCCTAAGATTACCAGAAAAGGGAAAATTCCACACATCCCCCTACTTCCCCATTCGGCCCTGTACCAGGGCCCCTCACCACCGCCCAGGGGCAAACAGTCTCTCCTTTGCTGTCCTGCCTGCTCCTCCCTTGCAGTATATTCGATAAACTTCTATCTTCTCTGTTCTGCCTTGGATGAATTCTTTCACCCCTGGGCTGCCGGCCCCCACCCAATCTGGAAGCCCCAGGATTACCATTTTAGGGCTGAAAAAGCATATAGCATAAAGGTCAAGAATCCAGATTGCCTGCGCTCAAATTCCCAGTTCTGTCTCTTCCCTGTTGTTGGCCTTTGGAGAAATAAATTAAAAAGTTCAACTATCAACGCTGTCATCTGTAAAATACAGATAATCACAGTAACTTTGTGTGTTGGGGAGATTAAGGTAACCAACCCATATAAAGACTGTAGAGGACGATCCAGCACTCAGCACGTTACCAAATTGTTATTACTTACTCATCAACACATGTCTCATCCAATCTCCTATTTATTCTACAAACATCTGAACATGTGCACCGTAGAAAAATATCTGCTTAGGAGTGAAGAAAGTCTGTTCCCTACTTGAGAGCAAAAATGGCTCAGCAGAGCGCCTGGGTGGCTCGGACGGTTAAGCATCTGCCTTCCCATCAGGTCATCTCAGGTTCCTGGGATGGAGCCCCTCATGGGGCTCCCTGCTCAGCTCTGAGTCTTCGCCCTCTCCCTCTGCCCTCCCCACCCCTAGAGCTTTCTCTCTCTCAAACATAAATAAAATCTTAAAAAAAAAAAAAAAAAAAAGGCACAGCACGTTAAATTTTCTCAGGGTGGGACACTGTTACCAGAGAGACAGGGGAACACTTCCTCCTCTCTGCACGCTCTGGGAACTCTGGGGCGGAGAAGGAAAAGGAGATACAACAATTCCCTCCCCCCCGCCCCCGGTCCAGAATAAATCACGGCGGACAATCGCAGGCGCCAACTGGGGTGAGACCAATCTTTCCTTTAAAAAAGGAGGGGTGCGGTCGTGGGGAGTCTTGAGGAATCCTAAACAGCCCTGCTTCCCGCAGCGTTCACTGTTTTCAGGGACTGAGCGCTTCTCGCCCAGAAAACGCAGATTGGCGACAACCGGCCACCGTTCTCGCGCCGGGACCGCTTCCAAGCATCTTCCCATCTATTTAACTCTCGTAAACCTCACTACACAGTCTCGATGGAGGAACGACCCTTAATCCCACTCAACGAAGGAAAAACGGAGAAACTAAGCAAATCTACGAACGTTGTCGCTAGAAGGCGGCAGAGCATGCAGAGGTGGGGAAGGCCAGGGAAGCGGCGGTAGCGAACCCCGCCCGCCCCCACTCTGGGACGCGCGACCCGCCCTAAAACCAAGATGACGCCCGCCCCCGCGGCTTCTAATCCCTGAGTGCGAGGGGCGGCACCTGCGAGTCCCGCGCCTAGGCGAGCTGGCCAGAGACGCAGGGGCTCAGCGCTAACTCACGTCCCAGAAGGTTTCCAAGGACCCCGGCTTCGCACTCCCACAACGCAAATGCACGGACCTGTCGCAGCTCGGGGACCACCCTTCCCAGAAGCCCCAGCGGAACAAGGGCTTACAGCACCACCCCGCGGGAACGGAAGTGGCTCTGACTTTCGGGCGCGGGCCGACTACATTTCCCAGAATCCTCAGCAAGTTGGCACTTAACTCTAGGCTGCCACTTTTTGCCCCCTTCAATGTACAAACTGTCGCAGTCCAGTGTGTTCTCTGGTGATATTAGCATTTGTTTTGTTTCTTTTCCTTCTTTTCTTCTTTAAAAAAAATTTTTTTATAGGGCGCCTGGGTGGTACAGTGGGTTAAGCATCTGACTCTTGGTTTTTTTCCGAGGTCGTGACCTCAGGGTCTGGAGATCAAGCCCAGCTCAGGTTCTACACTCAGTGCAGAGTCCTCTTTGGACTATCTCTCCCTCTCCCTTTGCAACTCCTCTCCCCACCCTGTGTGCACTCTCACTTTCTAAAATAAATAAATAAATCTTTTTTTTTAAGGGCCAGAAAATAATATTTTAGGGTTTGCAGTCCATATACATTATCTGTAGCATATTCTTTGCTTTCTCCTTACAGTTTTTTTTCCTCCCTAAAATTCTTTACAAGTGTGCAATTCCAGCTCTCAGTCATACAAAAATAAGACAGACGCTGTACTTGGCCAACAACTGTTCCCTGGCTTAGAATTTTATAACAACACATACAGTAGTAATTTTATCTATTGAAGATAATAGTTAATACTGTACAGCTCTTACTATATGCCAGGCAGCAAGTTTCCACCCTCACAACAGAAAAGATATTATCATCCACACTGAACACACAAGCAAATTGAAGAATAGAGAGGTTAAGCATCTTATTTGCAGTTACTCAACTGGCAAATGGCTGAACCAAAGTCTAGTTCCGGAGCCTGCTTTTTAATTACAATAAACTGTTTTGTAAACAATATTCCAGTTTGGTCTTTTTAACTTTAGTTTCTCCTAAAATACTTTTAATTCTCTCAAGAAGCAGTGAAGCACTGTGACCCTTGGTGGCCTAAGAATTGTCACACTCACTCTGAGAAGTATTACAGGGAAAATGGGAGGTGAACAGCTGACATAATGCAGGGCTGGCCAATGGCCGGATGTGCTCCCCAACCGGCCCTGCACAAGGAACCATTCCTTCACATTAGCCCACTAGCATTAGCAAGGAATCACTATCCGGTGTGTTCTCACTGGGATACGCCCATCTTTGGATTTTTCTTTTACTTTTCTTCATGGTCCTATGAGATTTTACTTGGTTTAAAGAGTCAATGCTCTGAGAAAGGGAAAAGTTATGGTGCAAACACTATGCCATTCAAATCACTTCTGGCACTAGTTACCCAATACCCCATTCTTTTTCCATGAATAGAACCCCTAAGTTGTAGTCAGGTGCATGTTTACACTCTCCAGTGAATATGTGGATGATACTGGAGCCAAATTTTTTTTATTCTTGGAGAACAAAGATGCAGTTTGTAATGGGGGGAGGCTAGAAAGAACACTATAATGTTCAATTCAGAATTGGTGGTAGAAGGGCGCCTAGGTGTCCCACTCTTGATTTTGGTTCAGGTCATGATCTCAGGGTTGTGAGATCAAGCCTCACATTTTTTGTAAAGCTTGAGATTATTTCAAAACAGTAAGTTTAAAGAAATGTAAAAATAAGTATGAAGCAAAATCTCATTATTTAGCAATAAGTAGCTAGAACTACACTTTTTTTTTTTAATGAGATCACACAAAAATCCCATGCTTTATTTTTTCAGGTTAATATATGCTGGACATCTTCCAACATACTTAATTACAAATTTACCTTTTCCCGTTTGATGTCTACATAGTGTTCCACTGGATTAATAAATCATAAAATGCTTCGGCAATCCATTTGATGGTTTCTATGTTTGCTACTATAAACAATGACACAATGACCATTCTTTTACATACACCTGCAGCAGATACGAATTTACTGCTGAAGAACGAAGATTCATCACTGGGGACCTATTCCTTAATTCTAATCCAATATACCATAGGAAATAGAGCAATCATATTATGAGTTCTTGGTTACAGGAAATTTTAGTCAGTAATTTTATTCATTTTTCATAGCTTTACAGCTTCCATAAAAATAAGTCACTGTAAATAAGTATAAAATGTAAGTTAAAGGGGAAATTATCTTAAAAACTTTCCTGACCCCCTCCAAACTAGCTAGTATATGGCAAATATCTTTTTCACGCCTTATTCTTAAGCTTATATTCACTTTTTTTTTTTTTGGCATATATTCACTCTTAAAGACCATTTATATCACTTGGATCTTGCCAAGAGAGCTGCAAGCCATTCCTGCCCTGAATATTAGTTCTATTCCTATTATTATGGTCCCATGTCATCATTTTAGTGGATTTGTTAGAAAGATTCTATCTGAAGAAATCCCTTTCCACTCTCAATGCTTGATAGTTTATTACCAGCACAGACTCTCCAAATGCACAATATGCATCCTGACCAAAGCCATTAACACAGTCTTCACTTTTAACGATTTCTGCCAGTGTGGACTTTCTGATGGTACATGAGACGTGAACGGTGACTGAAGTCCTTACCACAGATGTCACATTTGTATGGTTTTTCTCCAGTGTGGACTCTCTGATGGGCCTGAAGACGTGAACTCTGACTGAAGCCCTTACCACACTCCTCACATTTAAACAGTTTTTCCCTAATGTGGACACTCAAATGGACCCTAAGATTTGAGGGGAGACTGAAGGCCTTACCACACTCATCACACCTATGGGGTTTCTCTCCTGTGTGGACCCTCTGATGATGGCGAAGGTTCAAGCTCCTTCCGAAGCCTTTCCCACACTCCTCACACTTATAAGGTTTTTCTCCAGTGTGGCCTCTTTGATGGTATATAAACTGCGAACTGTATCTAAAACCCTTTCCACAGATGTCACACTTGTATGGCTTCTCCCCAGTGTGGACTCTCTGATGGGATTGAAGACCAGAGGACTGACTGAAGCCCTTACCACATACACCACATTTGTAGGGTTTCTCTCCAGTGTGGACTCTCTGATGTACCCGAAAATCTATAGCCTGACTAAAGCTCTTATCACACTCCTCACATTTATAGGGTTTCTCTCCAGAGTGGACTCTCTGATGAGCATGAAGATTTGATCGCCAACTGAAGCCCTTCCCGCACTCCTCACATTTATATGGTTTTTCTCCAGTGTGAATCACTTGGTGCAGTTTCAGATTGGAACTGTAACTGAAGTCCTTACCACACACATCACATCTGTATGGCTTCTCTCCAGTGTGGACTCTCTGATGGGTCTGAAGCTTTGATGACTGACTGAAGCCCTTCCCGCATGTTTCACATTTGAATCGTTTCTCCCCCGTGTGGACATTCTGATGGACTTGAAGATTAGAAGCCTGACTGAAGCCCTTCCCACACTCCTTACACTTGTAGGGTTTCTCTCCCGTGTGAACTCGGAAGTGGATGTGAAGATCTGTATTGCGGGTAAAGCCTTTCCCACACGCCTCACATTTGTACGGTTTCTCTCCAGTGTGGACTCTCCGATGGCATATTAATGGAGAATTGTGGCTGAAGCCCTTACCGCAGACATCGCATTTGTAAGGCTTCTCCCCAGTGTGGACCCTCTGATGTATGTGGTAGTGTGCAGCCTGAGTGAAGCCTTTCCCACACTCCTCACACTTATAGGGTTTCTCACCCCTGTGGACCCTCTGATGAACGCGAAGATTGACACTCCAACCGAAGCCCTTACCACACTCTTCACATTTATATGGTTTTTCTTCAGTGTGGACTCTCTGGTGGCACTGAAAGTTTGAACTCTGACTAAAGCATTTCCCACACTCCTCACATTTATAAGGTTTCTCTCCAGTGTGAGTCCTGTAATGAATGATAAGGCCTGTGCTGCTGCTGAATCCCTTGCCACAACTGTCACATCTATAGGCCTTCTCCCCCGTGTGGTTAAGCTGACGAAAAGAGCTCTTACTAAAGCAACCCTCAGATCCACGACATTTGTTGAGTTTCTCTCTTGGGTGAATTCTCTGATGGGTCTGCAGATGTGAGCTCTGACTAGAGCATTTCTCTCTTGTGCGAACGTTCTGATGACGTGGAAGCGCCGAGCTATACCCGACGCCCTTTCCGCACTCACGACATGGATGGAATTCCTCTCCTGGGGCTACGTGAGGAATGAAGCCGTCACTCGTGCTTTTGCCACATGTGTTGAACTTACAAGGTTTCTGTTCTGTGTCAGTGTTACTATAATCACTGACAGGCAATCTCTTCGTGAAGGCTTCACACATATGCCGGTTATTTTTCCCATGAACTTGCGGACCTCTGCTCTGATTCTGTGACTCACACAGGGATGTGTTCCCACAGGTGTCTTGGGTTCTCAAAACTGACAACTCTTGATTGGCAGTGCAAGTGGAGCCATTTCCTTTATGATTCACGACACTATTTTCATGTTCAGAAACCTGAATGGAATCACCATATGGTAACTGGGAACGCTTTCTCTGAAGACACCTGGTTAAATCACTTGCAACCTGTCTCCAGATTTGCCAGCAGGATAGTTCTTCATGGGAAAGGTATTTCAGTGCAACTTTTCGAAGGGCCTCCATCTCATTTTGATTCTTGCTGCCTGTAAGAAAAAGCAATATTCAGAGATGAGGACAAGCAAATGCTTTGGTAGAGAAATGGCAGGATTCCACATCTAGGCCATGGAATAAGGCCTTAATAAACCAGGGGGAGGGTCATGTTTGTACAACATCATTTATCCTTTTATGTTTTTCCATGCAAGTGGAAGCAAAGAATGGGGTCAAGAGACTTATCCACTAAGCATAAATGCAACCCATTCAGACCATAAATTTCATAATTTAGTATGAGAGCTATAAGTTTGAAATCAAATGGCTGCAGGCCACAGAGGCAATCCATACTCCATCCTATAATAACATCAATTAAAATTCTTCTCACCTAGAAGATATTTGCAAACGACATTTCAGAAAAAGGGCTAGTATCCAAAATCTATAAAGAGCTTAGCAAACTCAACACCCAGAGAACAAATAATCCAATCAAGAAATGGGCAGAGGACATGAACAGACATTTCTGCAAAGAAGACATCCAGATGGCCAACAGACACATGAAAAAATGCTCATCACTCGGCATCAGGGAAATACAAATCAAAACCACAATGAGATACCACCTCACACCAGTCAGAATGGCTAAAATTAACAAGTCAAGAAATGACAGATGCTGGCGAGGATGCGGAGAGAGGGGAACCCTCCTGCATGGTTGGTGGGAATGCAAGCTGGTGCAACCACTCTGGAAAACAGTGTGGAGGTTCCTCAAAAAACTGAAAATAGAGCTACCCTATGACCCAGCGATTGCACTACTGGGTATATATCCTAAAGATACAAATGTGGTGCTCCAAAGGGGCACGTGCACCTGAATGTTTATAGCAACAATGTCCACAATAGCCAAACTATGGAAAGAACCTAGATGTCCGTCAACACATGAATGGATAAAGAAGATGTGGTATATATACACAATGGAATACTATGCAGCCATCAAAAGAAATGAAATCTTGCCATTTGCAACGATGTGGATGGAACTAGAGGGTATTATGCTTAGCGAGATAAGTCAATCGGAGAAAGACAACTATCATATGATCTCCCTGATATGAAGAAGTGGAGATGCAATGTTGGGGGGGGGTTGGGGGGTAGGAAAAGAAAAAAGGAAAGAAGGTGGAATTGGGAGGGAGACAAACCATAAAAGACTCAATCTCAAAAAACAGACTGAGGGTTGCTGGGGGGTGAAGGGACGGGAGAGGGTGGTGGGGATATGTACATTGGGGAGGATATGTGCTATGATGAGTGCTGTGAAATGTGTGAACGTGGTGATTCACAGACCTGTACCCCTGGGGATAAAAATACATTATACGTTTATTAAAAAAAATAAATTTAATAAAAAAAATAATATACAAAGTTTTATAGAGAGAGATAGTGATAGAGATAGGGATACATTTCCAAATTTAACAGTGGTTATCTTTGAAAGAGAAAACAATGAATGTGTTTTTGTACTTTTTTGTACTTTTCTAATCTTTCCACAATGAGTTTGTGTAATTTTATAAGCAGAACACAATTTGTAAAACCTTTAACAATAAAGGGAAATCATTCCAAAAAGAACAAAAAAATTCTCCTCACCTTTTCTTCAGTAGGCTTATCACAAGAGGGATTCTACCTGGTTAAGTTACAAAAGCTCAAATCTCTTGTAGGCAGAAATGGCCAGACCACCCTGAACACGCCTAGTCTCGTCTGATCTCAGAAGCTAAGCAGGGTCGGGCCTATTTAGTACTTGGATGGGAGAAATTAGTAATTTAGGTCCTGGCAGGAATTCTCTTCCAAGAGTAAATTTGGGAAGTGGTTGGAATACTAACATTCATAGTAGTAACTGAGGGCTCTAGAAGGAAACGGCAAAGGGAAAACTAACCTTGTACGACTGACTTTCTCGGGCTTTCACCCTGGGAGAAAGAAAGCAGCAAAGCACCATGCACTCGCAAAGGCCGCCCTGAAGAGGAAGAGGGGAGCTAAACTCTCCCAGAAGGTCGCAAGGCCTAGTTTTTTTAAAAAAATTCATTCCCTTTAGGTCCTCACACAAATGGTGCTCAGTTGGGTAAGGCCTTCCTCATCACCCAATATAAAATAATTCCTTCCCACTCCCGTAACACCTTTGATTCTCCGCCTTTGGCTGATGCTGCTTTATTTTCCCTACAGCACGTATTATTTGACTTAACTATATACTTCCTTTTTTTTTTTTTAATTTGACAGACAGATCACAAGTAGGCAGAGAGGCAGGCAGAGAGAGACAGGAGGAGGAGGCAGGCTCCCTGCTGAGCAGAGAGCCCTATGCAGGACTCGATCCCAGGACCCCGAGATCATGACCTGAGCCGAAGGCAGAGGCTTTAACCACTGAGCCACCCAGGCGCCCACTTCCTAACTTTTTATTGTCTTTTTAGACCCACTAGAGTATAATAGTTATGAAGAAAACATGCGTTTTGTTTTCTTCGTTACGTTATCTCCACTGTCGTAGAATTTTTCGAATTGTTGGGATGCATTAATGAACTATGAAACCAATTCCATAAATGAACAAATGGTTAAAAAGAAAAATAGAATATGAGAAGCGTATCACAAACGGTAAGGATAACACTACACGAAACGCTTGTTTCAGCTACAAACACACGCATAAATATGTACATACGTTACACCCATGCTAGGTCAAGATGTAAAATATATGACTGAGGATTGTGGCTAAAAATGAATGGAAGCACCGGCTTAAAATGTTTGGGATTGGGGGAGCGGCAGTACCAAGTCCTCAATTATTAATTTGCTTAAATGTAAAGTTACATTCTAATAATATAAACTAAAAAAGTCTCAACACATATGTACACATTTCTAGGTATGGTAGGCCAATCAAATGGCCCCTAAAGATGTCCATGCCCTAATTCCTGGAACCTGTGAATATGTTCATGTACGTGACAAAAGGGACTTTAGATTTCATTAAAATTAAGGATTCTGAGATGGGGGTGGGGGGGCGCCTGGGTGGCTCAGTCAGTTAAGTAACGAACTCTTGATTTTGCCACAGGTCATGATCTCAGGGTTGTAGGATCAAGCCCCACAGCAGGCTCAACATGGAGCCTGCTTAAGATTCTCCCGTCTTCTCCCTTTGCCCCTCCCCCACTCCTCCCCTCCTCTGCTTGCATGTGCGCACTCTCTCAAAAAAAAAAAAAAGAAAAGAAAAGAAAAGAAAAAAGAATCCTGCAATGGGTGGGGAAGTTATCTTGTATTATGTGGATGGGCCCAAAATAGTTACAAGGCTCCCTATCAGAGAGTACATCCATAAATTACTCACAGAATTTGTCACCTAATTTAACACATTTGCAGACAGGCTTCTCTGTTTCATTTTTCAAGCAGAGGGAGAGCAAATGAATTTGCTTGCTCTGAGAATACTGAGTTTTGTTTTTTTTTTTTAAGATTTTATTTATTTATTTGACAGACAGAAATCACAAGTAGGCAGAGAGGCAGGCAGAGGGAAAGAGGAGGAAGCAGGATCCCCGCCGAGCAGAGAGCCTGATGCGGGGCTCGATCCCAGGACCCTGGGATCATGACCCGAGCCGAAGGCAGAGGCTTTAACCCACCGAGCCCCCCACGCGCCCCAAGGAGAGAATTTTAAGCAGACGCCCTGCTGAGCGTGAAGCCTTATG